CTCTCTCTGTCCCAAAAATAAATAAACGTTAAAAAAAATTAAAAAAAAATGAATGTTAAAAAAAATTTTGAAAAAATAATGCACAGCTCTATTTCAGGAGACCATTTTGTCATTTTAAGTAGAGGAAATGATGCAAAGGTAGAAGAGCGGTAAATAATATTAATTAAGAATTACCATGATAATACAAGATCGTCACATTTCACCCTTCCAAAAACTCTGAGGTGGGTTTTATCATATACTCATTTTTCAAATGTAGAAATTATGGCCCAGAGAGGCTAAGTAATTTATCCAAAGCCACACAGCTAAAAAAATGGTGGAGCTGTTAATTGACCCAAGGGGATCAGGTTCCAGAACTTGTGACTTTAAGCCACTCTTAAAGAAAGAATCATCTGTGACCTCCCTAAAATGCTCCGTGTGACTGGTGGTTTTGTCCCCCAGGAAGTTTAAAACAATTTCATCTCAAGTATTCCTGCAGGATTGATTTTTTTTTTTTTTTTTAACATAGAAACTCTACAAAGCAAAGTGAATTGCACGCTTGGCAGTTATTTGTTTAATCTGAGCCACTTAGGGCATAAAACCAGATAGTTATTAGATTGTAAAATCCTGGAGTCAGGAATGATCTTTTAAACACTGTGCTGCTCTACACACTATAAACCTAGCACAGTCAGACTTCTGTTCACCGAGAGATTTATAATTCAGCCACTATAAGATTTTTTTAACCAGATTATCTGGTTTGGCTACTTCAGGAATCGTAACCAGAGGACAGGCTAACCTCCACTCATTTGCACTTAGACACATAGCTCCAGGCCAGCCAGTTAATGCATTTATAATAATCTTGAGAACCCGGGAGCGTAAGCTATGCCTTACAAACTTTTTGGTGAGCAACAACTAGTCTAGCTTTATTTCGTTTTATGTTTTGTGGTTGTTGTTCATGGGAAGGCTGCTGTCTCCTATGCACTTAACGCTCCGTTTCTCCTAAAAGGCTTCATTCAGTTTGAGGTTCTGTGATAGTAAATTACAGGCCCTTCACTTATTAAGAGTTTTCCACAAGCTCTTCGGAATATACAAAAAGCATGTCCTGAATTGGGGGGTGGGGGGTCGTTGAAGGAGCTTGTGCCTCAATGGCCGTGGCTTGCTCAGTGAAGGCTCCCCTTCCGAGGGGTCTGGAGGCAGATTGTTGCTGCTGTCTGCCAGGAGGGTGATGGAAGGATCCGTGCACAGCTGTGTTTGAGCAGAAGCCTGAGACCCTGCCCACTTTGTGCAGGCCCAGGCCTGGTCAGAGCTCAGCAGGCACTGCCTGTCTGATCTCTAATAGCTGAGCAGCTCTTGTGGCTTTGCCAAATTTCTGAACCCCGTGTGCCTACACGAAAATCCTAAATGATGAATCTAGTCTCCCATTCAACAAATTCTTTGTTTAATTGAAGCATGGTTGACAACAAATTCATTCTTAAACATTTTGAGTGAAGATAAAAGAATAGGTAAAACCTATGATACAAATAAGAAACCTACATGCTGAAATTCGGATCCCTGTGTTCTGGCTGGATGCGGGCAAACAAAGTGTGTCCCATTAAAAGCTTTTGGGGGGACTTTGAAAACACTTTTATTTTCCCAAGCTAGTTTGAGAAGAGATGATCAAGGGACTTCAGTTAAATCAACGTGGTCATTTGTGACTTGTATAATTACCAATTCTTGCCTTGCTTTGACATTTTGGTTTTAGGTTATTTGTTCCCTTGGGTATGATTTGCTGTGCTCAATCCAAACCAGAGACTCCTGTCTCCCATGATCCTTTTTTTTTTTTTTTTTTTTTTTTTTTTTTTTTTAAGAGAGACCATGGGAGAGGGGCAGAGGGAGAAAACCTTAAGCAGGCTTCATACTCAGCGTGGAACCTGACATGGAGCTTGATCCCATGACCCTGGGATCGGGACCTGAGCCAAAATCAAGAGTCAGACACCCAATTGACTGAGCCACCCGGGTGCCCTGCCTCATGCTCCTTTTTTTTTTTTTTCTAATATGAAATCTATTGTCCAATTGGTTTCCATTCAACACCCAGTGCTCATCCCAACGGGTGCCCTCCTCCATGCCCATCACCCACTTTCCCTCTCTCCCACCCCCCCATCAACCCTGAGCTTATTCTCAGTTTTTAAGAGTCTCTTATGGTTTGCTTCCCTCCCTCTCTAACTTTTTTTTCCCCTTCCCCTCCCCCATGGTCTTCTGTCAAGTTTCTCGGGATCCACATAAGAGTGAAAACATACGGTATCTCCTTTTTAAATCTTAGGTGAGATCTACGAATTTAAAAAACACCAAAAGATGTTAATTGTTTATGGATGCATGTATTCATTGGGCAAGTCCATTTTGGGGGCTGAATGGCAATCTGCACAGAGCTGAAGGTCTTTGGAGAACTGGGGGTGTTCCGATGATACCAAAGTTAGCACAGTGTGGGACACGCCAAGGATCTGTGTGGCACCCTTCCCTCACTGTGACCTACGTCAGCCCTTTTCTCAGAGTTCGTCAGTGGCTTCCGGTCTGCTGCCCCTATTCGTCCCACCAGACTTCGGAAAAAACTTCCTCTCCGCTTTCTCCCCTTTACAAATTCCCTCCCCCCTTTGTGCCCTCATGACCTCATCTTCTTTCATTTTCTCATTTAAGCAGTCTTTGTGCTGCTCTAACACCAGACTCGCGTATGGCTCGCCTCCCCAACCCACGTAGACATGATGCTCTTAAGCACACCCGTACCCCCTGACTCTCTCCTCTCTTTTGACTCTGCCGCGGGAAATCTTGGTCTCTTGCTGCCCCCATTCGTTTGTCCCTGTCTCTTTGCGCCTACCTGACTTGGTTAGTCTGTCGCTTCCCACAAGCCGGGTCTCCTCATCCATCCACTCTGTAAAACCATCAAAAGCCTACACCTTCGTCTCCTTGACTGTCCTATAATCCCTACAACAGGCTTTATGTTTTCCACCTCTGCCCTGCTCTGTTAGCACGTCCTTACTTATTAACCCCTTTTAATCAAATCGCTATCTAAGCGATAGCTGTTAACTCCCATAGATTGCCCGCCGGGGCTGTCTAGTTTTCGGTAAGCCCCACTGAAAATGAGAGACCCGCCCTTTATTTGTGGGTAGAGAGAGACTGTTAGACAAGTAAGTCCTTGAATAAAAAGTGTGATCTGGGATCTCTTACAGCCTGGAGGGGGCACAGCCTTGATCTTATATGTTCTTGTGGTAGATACAAGATAGAATGTGGGCTTGGGAGAAAGGCAGTTCTGTTTCTTGTGACTCATGGCTCTATATGGCCTCTGGCAAATTAACCTCTCTGAGCCTCAGCTTTCTTATCTGTAAGACAGGGAGAGTAACTGTCTCACACTATTGTTCTAAGGCCTCCCCAGTAAGATAATACATGGATGTAAAGGACCTACCATGGCTCCTGGCATGTAGTAAGCAGACAGCCTCAGCTCTCTTTGCACTGATGGATGTTGAAAGGATAGTGTGGACTCAAGACTCGGTGACAAGACTATGTCAAAACCCCAGTTACTAGGTAAAGGTGGTTGAGCATTGTTTAGTGCTCCATGGGCCTGGAGATGTTACATGAAATACAGATGCCAGCCACAGGGATTTACCAGCATACTTATGGGCCTGCTTGCACATTAATTAATTAATGACTTGGTATCGTCACTGTTATTCATAAGATTGATATTCCTGAGATCACAGGACCTTGCTCATAGTCAGTACTCTAGAAACATTGAACTGAATGTTGAGTGACCTAACAAACTTATACAAAGAGCCGTTGAAAAGAGTCTTCATGTAGGGCACCTGAGTGGCTCAGTCGGTTGAGTGTCTGACTTTGGTTCGGGTCATGAGATCACAAGTTCAAGCCCCACGTCAGGCTCACTGCTGTCAGCACAGAGTCTGCTTCAGATGCTCTGTCTGCCTCTCCCTGCCCCTCCCATGCTTGTGCTGTCTCAAAAATAAACATTAAAAACAAAAAAGTCTTAATGCCATATGGCATAGTGGAAAGAACCCTGGTTTTGCTGCAAATCCCACTTTTGCTACTTCAGGCCTCTGTTTCCTTGTTTATAAAATGGGAGTAATAATACGCATCTTACCAGATAGCGGTAAGGATATGATATATGGAAATCATTAGTTTTTAGCCCATAGGCACTTGAAAGTGGCAGCTATTATAATATGCATTATAAGACATATGTAATATATAGGTATAGAAACATTATGTAGATAAATTTTAAGAGGAAGCATTTACTAGAATTGCTTATCCATACCAAAAATATCACAGGACAAGAGAAAGTTATCAGTGTACAAAACCAACAGTAGAATGTGAAGGAGGTGATTGGAGTGACACAGAAGTTCAGGGGAAACTATATCCTTCATCCCACTGCAGCCACTTAGTGATGTAGATGTAAAGTAAGAGGCCTTGGTGATCCGTTTTGGGATCATTTTAGGGTTAGAAAGAAACGTAAACAAATTGGTTTGAAATACCAACCACTGGGCCCCTGGCATTACCCCGCAGGAACATATAGACTTAATTACCAAGCCTCTTTGCCAAGATAAAGAAGGGCCACTAGGAAGAAGTACTGTATTTCCCACTTAAGCACGAGCAGCAGGAGAATAGCTGCTCGTTTCCTAGGTGATGGATGATTGCAAAGAATACGGGCGTGGAAGGGGACTCCCCTCCCCCCCCCAAAAAAAACCCTCTGTTCATACTCCATCAATGGCATCCCCTCCGTCGTATTTACTTAGAGCATTCCAGTCATCTCCCCGCGGTCATTCTTACTGGTTAATGAGGACGAGGCACGCCTGGGGAACATTATGGCCTGGCCGCAAGACTATCTTCCTGAAGAATCTTCGTTTTAAGATAAATGGCCTTGGTGGTGAACTTTGTCTACCATCCACTGGGAAGAGTGATTCTTTTAGAAGGTAGTTTTAGTAGACAATGAGATTGAGGTGAACTGAACATATACTCCGAGGGAAATGGAAGAGGCGTGAGTTGCGATAATGTGTGACAGTGACTTTTCATACCTGAAGTTGGCACTGGGGCAGCTGACCGTGGAGATACTAAAATCGCCAGTAACGTGCATTCCAACACATCCGCCTGGACCCTGTCATGGGCTACTAAATACCAGTTTATTCTTAAAGAAGAGCTCATCTCTTTCCTCCCAACCTCCTCCCTAACCATTAATGGTGCTAACTGGTGTTTAAATAGACAGTTCAGGACCCTCATTCCAAGGACTCAGCCTTGCTTTGGAGATGTCATATCTCTTCATAAATCGTGGTGTGTGTGTTGCAAAATGAAAATTCCTCCTGATATTTCTAACATGTCAAGGTAATAGTTACGTTACCAGAAATGTTCCTTAATGACATGTTGATGCCTATGCTTACCAGAAATAAGGATTGAGCAACTGTGAATACGTAAAAGCGCAAGCATTGCACAAAAATGTTTGATACGATCTTCTGAATTTGAGTTTAATTCCTTTCTTTACTCGTGTGTGTGTGTGTGTGTGTGTGTGTATGTGTGTTTGAATGGGGATTATTTGTGAAGCTAGACAGAAAGTTGCGGCAACCAAAAAGCATATAAGGTTAAGATTTAAACCAGATCTGGGGCGCCTGGGTGGCGCAGTCGGTTAAGTGTCTGACTTCAGCCAGGTCACGATCTCGCGGTCCGTGAGTTCGAGCCCCGCGTCAGGCTCTGGGCTGATGGCTCGGAGCCTGGAGCCTGTTTCCCATTCTGTGTCTCCCTCTCTCTCTGCCCCTCCCCCATTCATGCTCTGTCTCTCTCTGTCCCAAAAATAAAAATAAAAAACGTTGAAAAAAAAAAAGATTTAAACCAGATCTTTCTATTTATTAAAGCAATATGCATTTAGACACAATGATGTGCCCTTAATATTTTTTCTGATTTTTTTTTTTTTTTAGTTACGTGGAAACCTTATGCTCTTATATGAATTAGCCTTATTCTCATTGATTTGTGGTAGTCAGTCCGTTATTCTTAACTTAGCACCTCACTCCCACAGGGGATGTGGCTAACTCAGGGCGCATCTAGGCTTCTCTGTTGCCCGGCCCTGCACTCTACCAAAAGAATGAGCTGGAATTCAACCCCCCACCCGACCCCCAAATCACCATAACAAGCAAGACCAGCACACTGGGAAGCCAGTGTAGTAGACTTCTAAACACTCCAGCCTTCTTGGAGTCCAGAATCTTTAGTGTCTATCAGGACAGGTCAGTGATGATTTTTTGTTTTTGTTTTTTGGTTACTACTTGTTTGTGTTATGGGTCCAAGCTTGGCAAGAAATGGGCTATAGTGGACCATCAGTACTGCATTACCAGTGACAACGGCATTGGCACAGCAAAATTTTGAAGTCCTCTCTCCTTGAGTGCCCCTCTGGGCTAGAACTTACGTGCTCTTCTCCGATTCTCCAGCCTTCTGCACTCACAGCTAAGTGTGTTGAGCGTGACTTTATTTTTGTTTAATGTTTTTTATTTATTTTTGAGACAGAGAGACAGAGCGTGAGCAGGGGAGGGGCAGAGAGAGAGAGGGAGACACAGAATCGGAAGCAGGTTCCAAGCTCTGAGCTGTCAGCCCAGAGCCCGACGCGGGGCTCGAACCCACAAACCGCAAGATCATGACCTGAACCGAAGTCGGACGCTCAACCGACTGAGCCACCCAGGCGCCCCGAGCGTGACTTTAAATGGGAGTCAGGGGAAGGAGCAAAAAGAATACAGTCAGCCCAACGGCATTCCTTCTCTTAACCCTACTCGCTGGGAAGCCAGATTTCTAGACAATCTCACAGAGGCCCAGATGGCCTCGGAATATATCTCATTTCCTTATAAAGATCACCTTGTCAATTACAGAAGATGTCCATTGACTGAATCAAAGCCTCTTATCGGCACCTTTTTTTCCCTCCCAAATCCTAAACTCAACCAAGGCAGACCCATTAGCAAGGTATATACTTGCACGCCTATCTTTTATTTTTAGTTTAAAATATACATAATTTCTGTGGATATGCATCCATGTTTCACACACCCAACCGTGGGACATATGGTCTGACAATGGGAAAGATATTTGAAACTGGGACTGTCTTAGAAAGTTCAGGAACACATGGTCACTCGAGACAGTCAACATGGGCTGTTCCAGAGATCAATCAACTGTTGAAGGCATTATCCCTTTTCCCTTATGTCAGCCCTTTGACAGGAAATTATCTAAGAGGTGCTTTTTTTTTAGAGTGAATTCAGACACATTTTTTCACAGAGAGTCATCAATAATATTTACTTATAAATAATTGGTTGGTTCTTTTCTCTTTCCTTGCAGAAACAGGCATCTCTAGAAATGAAGGAAACCCCTTTTTGAAATATGGACTTGTACTGAGAACACCTGGGAGCATTAAGCAGTGAGGGGTGTTGTATTTCAATTGTTCTTGTTTTAAACCTGGCAGGGTAGCTCTGTGCCTTATAGCCTGCAGTGTCTGCATCAATCCTCCTGCCTCCCTTATTAAGATCTTAATTACAGACGCAGCTTACTTCATTGCTGCAGGGAAAGAATTTAGTTTCTCTGAACTATGTCTGTTTTTTGGTGTGGCAGGTGTAATCATGATGAGATCATTTCTGGTTTGTTTTCTTTTCCCGGAGGAATCTTTTTTTTTTTTTTTTCTGGGAGGGAGGACTACAGTTCTTGAGACACAATTTCATGAGCTCATAATAATGCGGTGATAATAACTGTGCTTTGATTTTAGACAGAGCCTTTCTTCTGAAGAAATCAGAGCGCTTGGCGTATATGACTCCGTGACTTCTCATAATATCAAGAATATGTTCATTATCCCCATTTTGCAGGTGGGGAGACAGAAGCACAAAAGGTGTGATTTCCTTGCCATTGATCTTACAGTATGAGGCCTGAGACTAGATTCCTTCAGTTCAGTGAGTGTCCCTTCCTCTATCCAGGGCTCTCCATTCAGCACTGTTGACTTTTACAGCTCAATCATTTTTTTGTTATGGGAGACTGCCCTGTGCATTGCAGGATGTCTAACAGCATCTGGCCTCTACCCACTGGTTACCAGCCACACACACACATTGTGACAACCAAAAATGTCGCCAAACATTGCCAGATCCCCAAATCCCCCTAGTTAGGAATCACCAGTCTAATCTCCCCTACTCCCTTCTGCTTAAAAATAATTGCCCTACTGGTTTTATGTGACAGAAGCACAAAAAGACAGCCCTAGAACTGTTTGCCATAATTTTACCATGATTGGGGTTGTGCTTCATGTAAGAGGTCCTAAGCAAGAGGGAGCTTCCTCTTAAATTCGTAGCCCCAATCTGTTCATGAGAATACCATCAAATACTAAGAAGCACAGGGTCTCACTCGGGCCATATATAAAGCCATCAGACTGTCTCTAAGACAACGTTAGTTCTCTGAAGACTTCCTCTGCTGTGTGTGTGTGTGTGTGTGTGTGCACGCACACACACACACACGCATGTGTATATAATGCATATGTATAATTTTATGTTGACATATATATAATAATAAACATGCATTTAGCACTGAACCTTGAAGAAAGCTCTCTTATTCTAATAAACTGGTAAATAATACATACATGTAGGTGTTTGTCTGTATACCTAGCCGCTGAATAATTTCATTTAGAGGTGTTCTTCTGTTCCATTTGTTCCTGCCATCTTTCCTCTCTGTTCTAGCTGAGAAGCTACAGCATCTGAAGGTTCTTTCTGGAGACCTCTCTGCAGGTGCAATGCTGACAGCATATGGTTGTAGATACCCTTTCAGCCAAGTATACTGATCCATTTTTAAAAACTCTTTGAGGATCTCGCACGTGAAGTGGGATAATAGCATTCAGGCAGCTGACCTAGGTGAGGTGACATCTAAAAGATTTGAGAGGGGCATCCGAGTTGTCAGCTGGGTTCTAGCTGGGAGACAGACCAGAGCTGACAGAATGTGTACATATTTGTATTGGTGGGTTTAGATATCATACCTTGAGAGCTGCATCCCTTGGTGCCGGAAGATACGTGGGAATGTAAAAAATGGTAAGACCTTTCCCTTCTTTCAAATAATTTATTAGATGTGGTAGCTTTTGTGCTTTGACTTTTAAGAAATGATCCTGTTTGGGGAAATAAACAACTAATATAGTAGTGGTATTATAATAGTGGTAATATAGTGGACTGGCGTCTCCTACTCCTTTATAACTTAATTCTCATTTCACTTCCCCCCAAGTACCTGGATGTTGAACGGATTTGTCTAGACAGGCAGATAGATGTGATCTCGTGCCAACACTGTAATGTTGGCTGAAGTCCAGATGGTTGTTTTCTTGTTAATAAAACCTATGTTTTGGGTGAGTGGGTGTCAGGCCTTCATCATTATATGGCGCCTGTCAGATTTATCTAGGGACAGAACCCTGAAAAGAGTTTGCGCCTGCCCCATGTTTTTGATCCTTTGCCAATATACTATACTTAAATCTATCAAAACCAGGCAACCTGAGACAAATGCTTATAAATTCCAAGGCTTAATAGCAACAGTACTAAATTCTAAGATGGAGAAGGTTCTCGGGAAGCACATCCTGGTCCAGTGGAAAAAATCCTAGATTAAGAGGGGAACCAGATGCTAGTTCTGGCTCTGCTGCTAATATCATAGGTGACCCCCGGTGCTGTAAAACAAGATTCTAGAATGATCTCTAGAATCTTATTAGTCTAAAATTCTAGTCTAATTGGTTCTGGTCAAGCTATGGGTGACTTCTGGTTCTAAGACATAGAAGGTTCCCTTCCACCTTCTTTAAGACCCTCTGGAGTTGCTTTAAAAAAATCTCAAAGACCACAGAGGATGGAAAATTGAGCTCCTGGAGACACATGTATTATTTATGATCATCAGAGTTGTGAGGAAATGCTCTTTTCTCACTATTTTTCTCAAATAACTGTCAGGATTCAAATTCATCCTCCACAGTAGGCCAAGAAATAATAGAAGTTGACTATGAAGTTTCTCTCGCTCTCTCTCTCTCTCTCTCTCTCACACACACACACACACACACACACACGCATGCCTCCCTAACAACCCATTTGTAATTTTTCTTAGATGAAAC